AACTGACGTTCTCAGAGGACAGGCTCCCTCAGCACCTGTCCCTCAATGGCAAAGTGACTGGGGCACTTCCTAGGGTCACCCATCAAAGGCTCTGCATTCTTGGAGCCCCACATCCAGAGTCCACCCTGGGAGTCCCACACAGGGCTCCAGGCGGGGGCTGCACAGTCAGGAAGGGGCTGGAACCGAGGAGTCCTGCAGGGGAGGTCTGAAATCCGTGAGCTCCGGAGGTCAGCTTGCAACATTTAGGAAATGTACTTGGTCTCATGATGTGGGCTGTCTCTGCAGCAGAGAGCTATATACTTGGGAGTTCTGGACGATTTAGGGGGGATCCTACACTCCAGGGCTGCACCCTGGGAACAGGGCACATTCAGGGCGTCCCACACTCAGGTCCCATCTCCCTGGGGACGCGTTTACTCACTGGTGATGCCCTCAGCTAGGATGTCTGACATTTTGCAGCAGGAAGACAAGATGCGCATGCTTGGGTGATCCATGATAAGCACCTGTCCAGATGGATGGACAGATGGACGGAGAAGCAGGCGGAAGAGGCCACAGCTGGCCCCAGGAGGAGCCAAGGCAGTGGGAGGGGCAGTTTCAAGGGCTGGCTGGGCAGGAGGACCCAGGACCCATTCACCCAACTCCACCCCTGTGGACAGGCAGTTCTCAGGGTCTCCACATTCAGCGTGTTCCCCATGGGCCTGATCAGGGGCTACCTCTGGGTACCGAGGCATTTGCCTTGCCCATACCTTCCACTCCCCATCCTTCTTGACACTTCGAATAACTCCGCTCAGAATTTCTGCAGGGAAGGGAGGGGAGGAGTCAGAATGCTGGTTCTCTGGTCCCACCACTGCCCCAAGTCTTCTCAGCCTTGGGGCTGAACCCTCATCTTAATTCCCATTTACTTTACTTGCCTTTTTTTTTTTCAGACAGAGTCTCACTGTGTCACCAGGTGCCAGGCTGGAGTGAAGTGGTGCCATCTTGGCTCACTGTAACCTCCACCTCCCAGGTTCAAGCCTCAGCCTCCCAAGTAGCTGGGACTACAGGCGCACACCACCATGCCCAGCTAATTTTTGTATTTTAGTAGAGAGGGGGTTTCACCATGTTGGCCAGATGGTCTCCATCTATTGACCTCGTGATCTGTTCCCCTTGGCCTCCCAAAGGGCTGGGATTAAAGGCGCGAGCCACCATGCCCAGCCTACTTTATTTTATTTATTTATTTATTTATTTATTTTTTATATAGAGGAGGTCTCACTCTGTGATCTAGGCTGAAGTTCAGTGGTGTGATCATAGCTCACTGCAGCCTCCAATTCCTGGGCTCCAGCGATCCTCTCACCTCAGCCTCCTGAGCAGCTGGGACTACAGGTGTGTGTACCACACACAGCTAATTTATTTTTATTTCTGTACAGATGAGGTCTTGCTATGTTGCCCAGGCTGGTCTCAAACGCTTAGCCTCGAGCAGTCCTCCCGCCTCAGCCTCCCAAAGTGCCGGGATTACAGACATAAGACACTGCATGGGAACCACGTATTTTTACCCCCCAGTTCTGTGAGGTGGCTTCTGGGGTCATCCCCAATTCACAGACAGGGAAACAGATTCTCAGGCGACATGCAACTCACCTAAGCATCCTGAGTGCCTAAATGGCAGAGTGCCTGGGCAAAAGTAGCCACTCAATAACACGTTTTAGATGAATGAAAAATGGAGAGCCAGGATCATCTACAGCTCTATTTGCCTCTAGAACTAGGCTCTGGGCTTCTCCACCTACTATCTCAAGTTTTCCTGCTGTCCTCACTGGTTTCAGCCAGTCTCCTGACCCTGGTCTAAAATATAAGACCCCTGGTTCCCAGCTCTGAGGCATGCCTAGCTGTGGCTATCCCAGCACCTCCCGCCTCAGTTTTCTCATCTGTAAAATGGAATCACTGTTTTCCCAATCTCCCCGAATTAAGGGGATCTGAGCCACAGACTGCCCTGCCTAGAGGAGGGAGAGGAGAGAAGTAACGGGGTGGCCCCGCCCAGCCACGTCCACTGTGTCATGTCCACTGTTATCAGGGCGGCCAGGGCGGAAGGAGCAGCTGAGGCCGGAACTCCCCGGGGGGAGAAGGAGACGCCCTCCACCCCTCCCCCAAGAACTGGGGCCCGTGAGGCCTGGACGACTGGCTTCTCCAGCTGCAAGAGGCTCCTGGGGATGGGGCAAGGAGGAAGGCGCCTCCTACATCACCCTTGTGGGGCCTGGACACGTCCCCTGAGCGTTCATAGCCTCTGGGGTCGCTGATCAGAGTCCCGGGGGGGCGGGGGGGTCCCAAGAATCCAATCCCTGAACTTTGTCCGGCTCAAGAGATCCTAGAGTGTGGGCATCCAGCTGTACCCTCCTCCCCCGGCAGGTACTCTAGGAGGCTGAGGAGTCTGGGCCCCAGCCTACGCCACCCTCTACCCGTCCCCTTTGGATCCCCGGAGTCCGGTCTCCCAATTTTGTTCCGCTCCGGCATCGGAGAGCAGGGACGTCCAGCTAGGGCCCCCGTCCCCGCCCGCCCCCTCGACGATCAGCTGCTGGGGCGCCCAGCCTGGCCCAGAACTCCCAGACGCCACGACCCCGGGGTCCCAGAGCCCATGTGCCCCCGTCCCCCGCCTCCCAGGGGACGCCAGAGCCCGGACCCGGAGAGGCACTCACTTTCCCCCACCACCGCCTTCAGCCCCGAGGGCGCCATCTTCCCAGAGGGGCGCCGCCGCCGCTTCCGGGTCTGTCCCAAGGTGGGGGCGTGGCCCCAGCGTCACCCACGCGGACCCCGCCCCGCGGGTCCTGGCCCCGCCCCCTGCGCACCTGGCCCCACCCCGCCGTTGGTTCTCGCCCGGGCCCAGGAAGTTGAGTCCCCGCCGGGAAGACCGGCAGGTGCGTCCGCGCTGCCGAGCACGAAGTCGTTGGAGGAGCACACCTCGACGACACGCTCGCAGATGGGAGTTCAGACACACACTTCCTGGCTTGCGTGCGAAGCGGAATCGCAGCGCAATAACTCCTCCAGCTTCCCCGGGCTGTTCCTTGTCTGCAAGATACACGGTGCACACTCGACGCCACCAGGCCACCACTGCCTGGGTCTGGGATCTTGACCCACTTGCCTTCTGTACTTCAAAGTGTAGAAGCAGCAGCAGCTTGGATAACTTTTAATGGATTCAGGAAGATGGGAGACCTCTTGTGTGCAGACACCTGGATGTAATTGTCATTCAGTCCTGCCCGTGCCCCCGACCTGGAGTGCGCTGCCAAGGAGGAAACCAAGGTTTAGCGGGATCCCTAATCCAAGGCCACGACGAGTGAGCCTCCTGGGATTCCAGCCGGGAGCCTGTCCCCAGGGAGCGCCTGTCACAGTCTTACTCTCTTCCGGGTGCAGCCACATTTACCCTCGTGAGCCAACAATCGAATTCACATGCTGATACACACATGGGAAGAGTGAGGCCCTCAAATGCTGGCAAACACACACACATCCACACTCGACTTGAAATTTCAGTGGCTGCTTCTGCTGTGTCCTGCGGTGTAGAGAGCACAGCCCCAGCAGCTCCCATACAAATGAGGTCTCCAATTACAGGTGCGAGGTATGTGTGCAAATAGACTCCTGGTGGTCTGAGCTGGTTCCTTCACGTGGTCGTGTTGATAAAGGTACCAAGCCCCCTGCCATTTACATGGGACATAGGGAGTGAATCAGACCTAGAGGTCTGCGGGAGATAAAAAAGGATCAATGCGGCCAGGTGCGGTGGCTCATGCCTGTAATCCCAGCACTTTGGGAGTCCGAGGCAGGCGGATCACCTGGCTATTTCTTCCTTTCCTTTCCTTTTCTATTCCTTTGTTCCTTCTTCTCTGTCCTTCCCATTTTTGTTTGTTTGTTTTTGTTTTGTAGAGACAGGGTGTCACTCTGTTGCTCAGATTCAAGACCAGCCTGACCAACATGGAGAAACCCCATCTCTACTAAAAATACAAACTTAGCCGGGTGTGGTGGTGCATATCTGTAATCCCGTAGGGTCCAGCCCCTCTCTGCTGGTGTGGAAACGAGAAATTGTAGAAATAGAAGACACGAGACACAGAGAAAATAGAGTTTGGGACCGGGGGTCCACTGCCAACCAAATCGTGGAGTCCTGCAGTGGCCCCGAATGCCTAGACGCTCTCGATTTATTGAGTTGCAAATCTGGGGGCAGAGTAGGTAGGGCGTGGCCCTGGTGGTCAGTGACTGGGAGCAGGGTAGATAGGGCGTGGCAGTGATAGGGTCAAGTACATCACGTGTCATACAGGTAGGGGCTTAAGACTTTCAGGTAGCCGAGATAAAGTAAGGAGCCTTATGCGTCAGCACTTTTTCCATACTTGTTAGGAAAGAATAAAGACATTAAGATTCATATTCTTTTACTGATTATCTCTTCTAAGAAAAAAGGAACCAGGTGCAGAAGCAGAACATGAGAGTGGACGTGGAACGTGACCACTGAAACAGCATCACATAGAGACGGGTAAGCCCCCGGATGTCTGAGGGCCTTCCTGACAGCATCAGGCCTACTGCAAGAGCTTGGAGGGGCCGAGTTTTCTCCTAACTCCTCTGGGGAAGGAGACGTCTCGGCCATCTTGGACGGCTCCTTCCCTAGCTGGCTAAACAGCGGGCACTTTCCCAGCTCTGACACCAAGGCGCCCTCCAGCAGCCCTTATGCGGGCATGACAAAGGGCTTAAAGCGTGTTGCCTTAGGGTCATTCCTTTCACAGTGTGTCCCCAGGTTCACACTTCTGACCTGAGAGGCATTAGTAAAAGAATTAGGATCACCTGTGAATAACTAAGATCACATGTGAATAGCTAATAACTACTACAGTCATATTTCTAGTTACTTTCTTCTTCATGATTTATATAGAAATAGGTTGAGGCTTTTGGCTCCTGTCCCCCCTACATAATCGCAGCTACTCGGGAGGCTGAGGCAAGAGAATCACCTGAACCCGGGAGGTGGAGGTTTCGGTGAGCCAAGATCGCGCCATTGCACTCCTGCCTGGGCAACAAGAGCGAAACTCTGTCTCAAAGAAAAGAAGACAAGAAAAGGATCAGTGCTGCCCTAAAGGAAATAAACTGATGTGACAGTGAGTACCCGGAAAGGCAGGGGTAGGAGGGGACTTTATTGAGGGTGACTCCCGAGGGCCTCTCTGAAGAAGGAAGGAGCCTTTAGACGTTATCCCTGAAGGAATTGGAGAAGCAGCCCCATAGCAATGTCCAGTAGAGAAGGGAGGGGCCACGAACTTACGAAGGCTGGAGGGAGGGTGGGGGCAGTAGGGGTCAGACGTCTATAGGATGAGGTCTGACTGACCCATCCCCGTGCCAAGATGCAGGACTTTCAGTGCTAAAAACAGGACAGTCACAGGCAAACCAGGATGCTTGGCAACCTTAGGAAGGAGTTTGGCTATTTCTTCCTTTCCTTTTTTTTCCTTTGTTCCTTCTTCTCTCTCCTCCCCATTTTTGTTTGTTTTTGTTTTGTAAAGAGACAGGGTGTCACTCTGTTGCTCAGGCTGGAGGGCAGTGGCATGATCATAGCTCACTGCAGCCTCGACTTCCTGAGCTCAAGGGATCCTTCCACCTCAGCCTCCCAAGTAGCTGGGACTACACGTGCACACCACCTTGCCCAGCTGAGTTGTTTTTTGTTTGTTTGTTTGTTTGTTTTTTAAAGAGACAGGGTCTCTCTTTGTTGCCCAGACTGGTATCAAACTCCCAGGCTCAAGAGATCCTCCTGCCTTGGCCTCCCAAAATGTTAGAATTTTAGGCGTGAGCCACTGCACCCTGCCCCTTCCTCCTTTTTTTTTTTTTTTTTTTTTTTTTTTTGAGACAGAGTTTCGCTCGTTACCCAGGCTGGAGTGCAATGGCGCAATCTCGGCTCACTGCAACCTCCGCCTCTTGGGTTCAGGCAATTCTCCTGCCTCAGCCTCCTGAGTAGCTGGGATTACAGGTACGCACCACCATGCCCAGCTGATTTTTTGTATTTTTAGTAGAGACAGGGTTTCACTATGTTGACCAGAATGGTCTCGATCTCTTGACCTCGTGATTTACCCGCCTCGGCCTCCCAAAGTGCTAGGATTACAGGCGTGAGCCACCGCGCCCTGCCCCTTCCTCCTTTTCTAACAACTTTACTGAGATATAATTCACATACCATGTAACTCGCTGACCTAAGGGGCATAAGTCAATGGCTTTTAGTATCTTTGGAGTTGTACATTCATCACCACAATCCATTTTAGAACACTTCCACAATCCTAAGATGTTTGGGTTTTGTCTTGAGAACTGGAGCCCAGGAAAGAGTTTTGAGCAGGGGAAGGCAGGGGCCCCTCCAGGTCCTAGAGGGGAACCAACCACCTCCAGCTTCTCAGCCTGACCCCTTGCGGGGAGGGAGAGTTGATAGGGCCAGCCATCCCACCCCAACTCCCAAAAGATATGAAGTACTAATCCCCAGTATCTCCCAGTTGGACCTTATTTGGAAATGGGGTCATTGTAGATATGAGCGGTGATGATGAGATCATGCAGGAGTAGGTGGCCCCTCATGCAGCGTCACTGGTATCCTTGTAAGATCATCAGATGTCTCCTGATTCTGTGTAGGTGGCTGGGGGGAAAAAAGATGGCTATAGGAAGACTGGGACACACAGGGAGAATGTGACCACAGAGGCCGGGACTGAAGAGGTGCAATGACACGCCAAGGACACCAAGGACAGCAGGCCACTGCCAGAAGCCAGGGAGGGGCAAGGAGGGATCCTGAGACCTAGTTTTCAGAGGGAGCACAGCTCTGCTGACATCTTGATTTCAGGCTTCTGGGCTCCAGAACGTTAGCTCAATACATCTTCTGTTAAAAAAAAAAAAAAAAAAAAAAAAAAAAAAAAAATTAAAGGCTGAGCATGATGGCTCATCCTTGTAATCCCAGTACTTTGGGAGGCCAAAGTGGGAGGATCACATGAGCCCAGGAGTTTGAGACCAGCCTGGGCAGTATAGTGAGACCTCATCTCTATAAAATATATATATGTATGCATATAAAATAAAATCTGTTGCTCTAAGCCATTTGGTCTGTAACACTTTGGTCTGGGAGTCCCAGGAAAGGAGAGGGCTACATGCACTGAGGAGGGGGACCCGTCCTTGCATGGAGGAAGAGGGTGTGAACTTGGCCCTTGGTGGAACAGGGAAGCCTCGGGGAGAGGTGGTGATAGCTCAGCCCATTCATTGAGATGAAACTTCCACTGGTTTACGTAAAGGTGTCTTGGGGAGGGCAGGGAAGGGGATGAGGACCTCCCAGTGGCATCCCCTCCTTGGGCACTGAGGGAAAGCCACAGCAGCTCAGGGGAGAAAGCGGGGACATCCTCTCCTCCTCGCCTGCCTCTGTCCCCAGGGAGACTCGCCTCCTGTTCCCACCTGGGGCTGGGGTGATAGATGAGAGGAGACAGCTCAACTTGGCATCTGGGTGGCACGGGGACCCAGGGACAGTGAGTAGAGGAAAGGGTGGCCAGGAGACCGCTTGACTTGCTGCCAAGGAGACAGAGCTGGAGCCAGGCTGGCCGGGGGTGTCTGAGGAGGGTGCAGAGAGGGAGGGGGGCAGAAAAGGGGACTCTTGACTCCAACCTCCTCTTCCTCTACTGACTGCAGGTGGCAGCTGCCCTTCCAGGAGCCAGCAGAGAGAACTGGGTGGCTGGCTGGGGACACCTGCAAGTCCCCACCCAAGCCAGCTACCACCCTATCCTGCCTTCTCCAACTGTGGGGACGCTGCTCAGGCCTTTTGTGACACCACACCCGACAGTCCTTGGGGGTCCGGTCATTGCTGCTGGGTCCAGCAAGGTCCAAGCTCAGGTCACCCTGTCCCCTACCCCCCATGCCAGATCCGGCATCGTTGTGGGCAAACAATTATCTGGATGATCTTTATGGGGCTTAAGCTTGGGTGGGAGCAGATGGGGCATGAGCTAGGGATTTGGAGATGGCACACCCCCACGTCCCAGACGTTTAAAAGGCCCTCTCTGGCACCAGGCTGGGACAGAGGCCAGCAGGAAAGTGACTGGAGTCCAGTGACATGATGGATCTGGAGGAGAAGACAGAGGAAGGCTCGGGCCACTGTGCAGAGGTGAGAGGGCCCTGCCCCCACCCCAACCCCAGCTCAAGGTCTCAGAGCCCATGATTGACAAGACTAATTAGTTTGTAGGGCACCTAATTAGTGAGTGAGTCTCCTAGGACCCCCTGATCCAGTTATGGCTGCAGGCAGGGGCTGGTGGGCTTGGAGGTCTGAGTACCAGCCCCAGGGCAGAGGGCAGAGCTCTCTATGTGGACCCCTGTTGACGGGAGATGCTGGGACCTGGGGGTGGCTCCTGGGCCGTGTTTCCCTGATTCGTGTCCCAGCTCTCAGGCCACACTCCTCAGGCCCCAATCCAGGACGGCGGGATGCTGGCATCGCAGCTTGTCCCTTGAGGCGGCACCACGTGAAGTGGCACTGCCGGCTGGGGCCACTGGGGCGGGGGCCGGGATTGGGAAGGAGACTCATGTCTCATTCAGAGCAGCTCTGCAGAGGGGATCGGCAGGGACCATGGTGAGATCTAAGGAAGAGGGGATGGCAGGCCCCGGGGTCAGGGTGGAGCCAGCGGGCCGGGAGGGTTGGGGAGGGGCCCCCAAGCTGAAGGGCCAACTAGACTGATCAAGTCTGTCCTCAGGCGGGCTCCCCAGACCAGGAGGGCTTCTTCAATCTGCTGAGCCACGTGCAGGGTGACCGGATGGAGGGGCAGCGCTGTTCGCTGCAGGGCGGGCCAGGCCAGACCACCAAGAGCGGTGAGCATGGGCACAGGGGTGCTGTCCACGGGGCATGAACGGGGCGGGAGTGCAGGGCAAGTGGTCATCTGGAGGGCCTGGGGGCACGGCGTGTGGGAGGTGGTGGTGCACCCTGAAGCATCTGCGTGGAGGTGAAGGGGTGGGATTGCGAACGCCAGTCCAGCTGTGTCCTCTGAAGTCTGTATACATCCACACAGAGAGTGGCCCCACACCTGAGATGGACAGCCTCATGGACATGCTGGCCAGCACCCAGGGCCGCCGCATGGATGACCAACGTGTGACAGTCAGCAGCCTGCCTGGCTTCCAGCCCGTGGGGACCAAGGTATGTGATGTTTTGTCGGCACCGAGGAGAAACCCACCAGGCCGTGCTCTCCGATCCTGCCCCCCACCCCAGCCAGGAGGGAATAGGGACTGCCCCACCTCTGTCCATCCTCCGCCCTGACATCAGATAGGAGGACCAAGGCCCAGGCATGGGGTAGAGTGGCCCAAGGTTATACAGGGGCCATGCCAGTGTCAGACCCACGGCTGGAACTGTGCCTCCTGCCCCCAAGTCTGAAGAGTCTGGAGAGGCCAAAGGGAGAAAATAGGACCCCTTCCCAGGAAGATATCCCAGGGAGGAGGGCGTGTGAGCTCACGCACAGGATACGTACATCTGCATACTCACATGTGTTGATGTCACGCATACATGAAGCTCGGGTTCTGATCAAGACCCCAGCGAAGACCCCAAGACCTGCCACCTCACACTCATATACCACCCTAAATGGCAGATGTTGAGGGCAGACACAGACCAGTGCTGAGGATGAGGTGGGACCCGTGCCCACCAGCACTCTCTCTCCAATGTTTGCCACCTCTGGCTGGCACTGCCCTTGAGCCCTCCCCCTGGTTGACCCCTCTTCATCCACAGGACGGAGCACAGAAACGAGCTGGGACCCTCAGTCCCCAACCCTTGCTCACCCCTCAGGACCCGACTGCTCTTGGCTTCCGTCGGAACAGCAGCCCCCAGCCCCCAACACAAGCCCCCTGAGGGCCTGAGCCCTCTTGGGCCTCACTTGGCCCCCAAAAGCTGATAAAAGAAATAAAACACTTCCATGAGCAACAAGGAAATGAGTATGTGTATATTTCATCAGGGGAGGGGCTAGGACGCCCACTTGGAGGCCTCAGGAGTTCCGCTGGGCAGCACGAAGGAGCTTCTCCTCCCGCTGCTTCCGTATCCTCTCTTTGAATTCTTCTAGCTCCTGACGCTAGGGGCGGGGAAGCAGGGGTGAAGGGGGACCGGAACAGTGGAGGGGTGCACACCTCAGGGCCTAGATCCCACTCCCACTCTCTCACCACCCTGCCCAGACCACGGCTTCAAGTTTCAGTGTCTCTACTGGAAGCCCCCTGCCAATTACAATGGGGTCCAAGTGGGATCCGCTTCATTCTTCCAGAAGGCAATAAGGAAACCACCCACTCCTCTCCTCTCAGTTCCCTACTCATGGCCGAGGATAAAATTTTCCTTTCTTGAGATGAAGTCTCTGTTGCCCAGGCTGGAGTGCAGTGGCACAGTCTTGGGCTCACTGCAACCTCCACCTCCTGGGTTCAAGTGATTCTCCTGCCTCAGCCCCCCGAGCAGCTGGGATTATAGGCGCCTGCCACCACGCTTGGCTAAATTTGATATTTTTGTAGACATGGAGTTCCACCATGTTGGCCAGGCTGGTCTTGAACTCCTGACCTCAAGTGATCCACTGCCTCAGCCTCCCATGCCCTAGGATTACAGGCATAAGCCACTGCACTCAGCCTAAAATTTTCATCTGAAACCCATCCTGGACACAGGAATCCAGCCTCCTCCATCCCCGGGGTAGGAAGAAGAGGAGATCGCTTACCTTATCAGACGGCCATAGCTCCCTCTGTAGGGAAAAGTCACAACTGGGACACGAGTCAAGAGCCTCCAGAGCCCCATACCCAGGGCAAGGTAGGCCCATGGGAGGCAAACATGGGTCCCCAGCAGATTGGTGCCCTGCACCCTCTCCCACCTCTGGAATGAACCCTTGGACATTCCTCTTATGCCCACCTTGCGCTGTATGACATCGTTCTCAAACCACTCGGCCTGGTTGGAAATCCAGAACATAGCCACAGGAAAAGTGAGGTAGAGTACCATCTGGAATGGCAGAGGGTGGGTGAGGTGAGTTCCCGCTGCCCGACCCCCACTCCCCGCCAAGCAACATGCAGAGGCTGCTCAGAGCCTGGGGGACCCATTCTACTGTTTAGTCCAGGAGCTCCTCCTCAGGGCCTCCCCAAGAACTCCAGAACTCCCAAGCCTCACGCCCTAAAGCGTAACTCCTATAATCCAGGAGGCCTAATTCCTGAAAGTCCCCTCTGAAATGGCGACTTCTTCTCAAAGACAGACAGACAGACACACACACACATACAGGCCGCAGCTACATTCAAAAGCATCTCCTGGAGATCTCATTACTCATCCCCACTTAAGATCGCGGGAGCACCCCCAAGCTCAGGAGGCCTCACTCTCCAACTGTACTTCTCTATAAGTCTAGAGGAATCTTCCTATCAGAGATACCCACCCACCACGAGCCCTAGAGCTGCCCCAGGATCTTAAGTCTTCCTTCTTTAGAGCCCCCTTCTCTGGTCACCCCTCTCTGAGGTCCTTCCTCACACCAGCCCTCTCACAGCCCCCAAGCCCAGAAGCCCAAATCCGAGAACCCCAACCTAGCGTCCCCTCTCCTGGATTTCCAACCAGAAAGGTTCCTCTCAAATCTCAAGAGCTTTCTCCTTGGAGCGCCCTCTTCCCTTGAAAAGTCCCCGATCTCCAGCCTCATCCTCAGATCCAGGAAGATCCCCTGCACAGCCTCCCAACCCACTCCTGTGTTCACTGACCCGAAATACCTCCACCTTCACCCCCATCTCGTTTCTCCCGGTCAAGAAAGCCACTTCCGCCCAAAGCCGACATTCCAGCAAGACAGAAGTTCATTGGTGTTTCTCACGCTCCACTGCTGAAGCTGATTGGCCAATGTGTGTTCTGATGACTTAGTCTTCGGGCGCCGCTATCTGCTTCCGGTCGCTGGCGTCTTCGAAACGGAGGCCAGCAACGCGGGCCTGTCAGTCAAGAAGGATTTAGCCAATAGAAAGTGGGTCTGGCGCGAAGGGGCGGGCTGTCAATGGTAGACGTCATAAGTGCGCGACTCTCGACTGTGCCTGGGCGTCCAGGAAAATGGTGGTGATGGCGCGACTCTCGCGGCCCGAGCGGCCGGACCTTGTTTTCGTGAGTCCACAGAGTTGCCGGGGGTGGCCTGCCCTGGGGCATTGGGACCTGGACGCCGCAGGGGATCGGGGCCTGTTCGCCAAGGGGGTTTAGGCCAAAGCTGCTAGGCTGGGCTGGGAACTCTAACGGGCCAGAGACCGGATGGTGATGTCCGCACCGGACTGGCCAGGAGGAAAGAATGGTGGCGTAATTTGGGGTCTGAGTAGAAAACTGTCGAAGTGAAGCGTCTAGCCTCCCAAGCCAGGGGCGGAAATGGGGGCGTACAGGGAATGGGAGAGGAGGGAGATGGCGTAACTGAATTTTGAGAGGTGAAGACTGGTGTTTGAAGTAAAGGCATGATTACGAAGCCTGAGCTCTGGTTTCTGCGGTGAAGGCTTGGTTTTCTGGATAGCGGTCTAGGCCTGGACTGCAGCCTTACAGTTTCTGGGGTAACGACTTAGCCAGGCTAGAAGAACCCTGGTGATGTGGAGCTTGTGAGGCGATGGCCGATGAAATATTTACTGTCTGAAGTAGAGGCATGACATCTTCATCAGATTTTTGGTGTCCAGAGTTACAGGCTTGGCTTCTGGACCATAACTCCTCTTACGAGATAAAAGCCTAGCTTTTAAGTTCTGGGGCAGAGTGCTTTGGAATCTAGACCTGAGAGCCCTGGTGGATAAGATAAAGGTCTGGTTATCTGGGCCTGGGGTGGTGACAGTGGGAGGCTGAGAGGCTAAAGGCCTGGTATCTGGGAAGAGGTACTTTTTTTGGGGGGGGGGGGAGGGAGACCGAGGTTTGCTGGGAGGAGTAGCTGGGATTACAGGCTTGTGCCACCATGCCCGGCTAATTTTGTTTGTTTTGAGACGGAGTTTCCCTCTTGTTCCCAGGCTGGAGTGCAATGGCACGATCTCAGCTCACTACAACCTCTGCCTCCCAGGTTCAAGCAATTCTCCTGCCTCAGCCTCCCAAGTAGCTAGGATTACAGGCATGTGTCACCACGCCCAGCTGATTTTGTAATTTTGGTAGAGACAGGGTTTCTCCATGTTGGTCAGACTAGTCTTGAACTCCCAGCCCCAGGTGATCTGCCCACCTCGGAGTCCCAAAGTGCTGGAATTACAGGCGTGAGCCACCGCACCCAGTCAATCTTGTATATTTAGTAGAGACAGGGTTTTTCTAGGTTGGTCAGGCTGGTCTCAAACTCCCGAACTCAGGTGATCTGACCACCTCGGCCTCCCAGTGTGCTGAGATTACAAGCGTGAGCCACTGTGCCCAGCTGAAGAGGCATGTTTTGAAGAAGTGAGGTCTGGTGTCCAGGACAGAGGCCTGTCATCTGGGCCAGGGCCTTGGTGTCTAAGGGGTCTGATAATCTGGGGCAGAGAGAGCAGGTGGTGATGCGAACTCATGCCTGGCCCAGAGCCCTAATGACTGAGAAGTCTGATGGTTTGGGTTCAATTGTGGGGAGTCGAATTCTTCTGGACCAGTGTCTTGGTGTCTGGGCATCTAGTGACCTGATTTCCTTGGTGGGTGGTGGGATCTGGGTGAAAGTCCAGAGTTTGGACCTGAGCCCCAGTAGTGGGGTGGTGCTGCACGCGAGCTCTGAGGGTAGGTCTCTCTTCTTCCCATTCCCTGGCCCTGGCAGGAGGAAGAGGACCTCCCCTATGAGGAAGAAATCATGCGGAACCAGTTCTCTGTCAAATGCTGGCTCCGCTACATTGAGTTCAAACAGGGCTCCCCGAAGCCCAGGCTCAATCAGCTGTACGAGCGGGCACTCAAGCTCCTGCCTTGCAGGTGGGAATGGTCCAGCTGCCCTGCCCATCAACCCCCACCCCACCTGGTCCAATTATAACAAAACTGGCAAATAGGTCCCAGGTGATTGCTTTGTGTTCCGTCAGCTGACTTGTAAATCCTTTGATGGGTCAGCACACCTTCCCTGATGTCCCAGTCTGTCCCGTCATTGCTGAGATATGCCACCCACCTATACCCCTTCTTCCCACAGTTGCCAACTGGGGCAGGGCAGGTGGTCCTGGGAGGGTCCATAAAGCTGACCAATCAGCATCTGTCCCCTCCTGTTCCCCAGCTACAAACTCTGGTACCGATACCTGAAGGCACGTCGGGCACAGGTGAAGCATCGCTGTGTGACCGACCCTGCCTATGAAGATGTCAACAATTGTCATGAAAGGGCCTTTGTGTTCATGCACAAGGTTTGGGCCTGGGCGAGGGGATGAGTGGGGAGGTGGGGCTCACTCCATGGTGGTAGGTGCGGTGGGTGTGGGGGCTGGGCTCAGCATAATAGGGATGGGGGCTTGGAGTCCTGTTGCTTCTCTGCATGGGAAGTTGGGTTGGACTCAGTCCTGGAGCTGGGGGTTTCTTGGTCCTCCTGCATTTATGTGGTGGCCCTAGGTGTGGCTCAGCCACAGGACATTGAGTGTCTGTGGCCAGGTCATGGAGTCCATGGCTTAGCCCCAGCCGCCTCTCCCCATACTCCCAGATGCCCCGTCTGTGGCTAGATTACTGCCAGTTCCTGATGGACCAGGGGCGTGTCACACACACCCGCCGCACCTTCGACCGTGCCCTCCGGGCGCTGCCCATCACACAGCACTCTCGAATTTGGCCCCTGTATCTTCGCTTCCTGCGCTCACACCCACTGCCCGAGACAGCTGTGCGTGGCTACCGGCGCTTCCTCAAGGTGAGCCCAGCAGGTGCGCTGCTTCCCAGGTTAGTGTTTCCAGAAACAGCCTCACTGGGACACCAGCTCTGTATAGGATGCCACCCAACAGACAGTATGTGGGAAGAGGCTCTTGGAGACACTTGCATTTTGTTGTTCATGATTCTTGTGTTTATTTTCCAAACAGTTTGCTTATACCAGTTTCATATTAGACATAGAGATGGGTGCTGAGGACCGTGTGACTAAGACACTCCCTGTCTGCACGGACCTTTTAGTCTCACTAGGAAGACAGATGCATATGAGCTGATGGCATGAACCAGAGTAAAACCACAGCCATGAGGGCCAAGCATAGGAGGTGGAGAGAACTATGGGGGACGTACAGCAGGCAGGGTGGAGACTGGAATCGCCATCTGGGTGGGAGTGTGGCGCGGTTTGCTCAAACTTATAGTATCTGTTCTGTGACACTTGGAGTCTAAGCTGGAACAGTCAGGATTGAGGCTAGACCCATGGGGCCCAGGCTGGACACCGTAGTCAAGGCCGGACCCATGGGATCAAGGCTAACCCAAAGGGGCCAAGGCTAGAACAGTCAGGACTGAGGCTGGACCATTGGAGCCAAGGCTGGACCCATTATGGGTGGAAGGTAAAGTCTAACCCAAAAGGACCAGGGCTGGACCATTGGGACTGAGGCTAGACCACTGCAGTCAGGGCTGTGTTCTTTGTGGGTCAAAGCTAACCCAGAAGGTCCAAAGATGGTCTAGTCAGGACTGAGGCTGGACCCATAGTGGATTAAGTACGTAACCCAATGGGGTTGATGCTAGACCAGTAGGAACCGGGGCTGGACTAGTGGGGCTGAGGCTGGTTTGACAGGGCTTGCTTTTGTCCAAGACGGTGGTAAATGGGTGGGGGGCGCTCCAGAGCCACTGAATTTGGGGATGTGGGTGTGGCCCTGCCGCCCCACTGACTGCCGGAGGGGTGGGTCGGTCCCCAGCTGAGTCCCGAGAGTGCAGAGGAGTACATCGAGTACCTCAAGTCAAGTGACCGGCTGGATGAAGCCGCACAGCGCCTGGCCACAGTGGTGAACGATGAGCGTTTCGTGTCCAAGGCTGGCAAGTCCAACTACCAGGTGGGCCTCCCGGGAACTGGGAGCTGGGTGGGAGGGCCACCCTGCTCTGTGACTGAGCTTGAGACTCTTTCTGCCACTGCCCCATGCCCTACAGCTGTGGCACGAGCTGTGCGACCTCATCTCCCAGAACCCAGACAAGGTCCAGTCCCTCAACGTGGACGCCATCATCCGTGGAGGCCTCACCCGCTTCACTGACCAACTGGGCAAGCTCTGGTGTTCACTCGCCGACTACTACATCCGCAGCGGCCACTTTGAGAAGGTGCACACCAGCGCATGGGGCTCTGGGTTCAGGACAGGGTCTCCCGACACTCACGGACATACGTTGACACATGCACAAGTGGAACACGTGCCGTTTGTGGCCAGGTGTGGTGGTGCATGCCTGTAATCCCAGCACTTTGGGAGGCTGAGGGGGGCAGATCACTTGAGGTCAGCAGTTCAAGACCAGCCTGGCCAACCTGGTGAAACCCCATCTCTACTAAAAATGCAAAAATTAGCCAGGCATGGTGGTGGGCACCTGTAATCCCAGCTACTGAGGAGGCTGAGGCAGGAGAATCGCTTGAACCTGGGAAGTGGAGGTTGCAGTGAGCTGAGATCACAGCGCTGCACTCTAGGCAGCAGAGTGAAACACTGTCTTGAAAAGAAAAGAGAAGAGAGAAAAGAAAATGAGGGAGGGAGCCCTCATTTGTAAAATCAGGGTGGCAGTCCCCCCCGTCACCAGTCATCACGGTGATGCAGGCACAGCACTGAGTAGGTACCTCATGTGAGGGCCATTCCCTCAGGGGCCAGCTGACTATGGGTCTTGTCAGGCATTGGAACGGGAAGCTCAGGGGACGGCCTGGGGCAGTGGGAGCAGAATGGGGCTGGAAGCACAGGAACCGAGAGAAGATAGGTTGGGAGGCTTTCGAGCCAAACGGGCTGGCGATGCTGCTGA